TATCCTTGATGGTAATCTTTATGAAAATTATGCATAAAAACTTAATACAAGATTTATATTTAATTTAAAATCAATTGGTAATATGTAAAGTAATTTTTTTTATATTTAATTTTATAATCAATGTAAAATTTTTTCACTCAACACATCTCTTCTTGTACAGGCTCATTATGAATGTAAAATACAATTATGTGGCTTAATACACCCGTTACATATATAGGCCGATATTAACTTTAACTTCAAGTCTTATTAAGTATACTGATAATGAACTTTTCATGATATAATTTGATCTTTAATATTATGCAAAAATTGTACATATAATCAATCAATAATAAATGAACCAGCTATACTTCTATTTTAAGCACGTACTTCTTTGTCTTGGAATAAACGTGAGATTTTCCGCTCAACAATTTTCTTCAGTTGAAGAAAACCCTAGCCATGGCGGAGATTGGAGTCACATTGGTAGTAGGAAACGACGGCGTTGCTGTCATCACCATCTCCAATCCTCCCGTCAACGCCTTAGCTATTCCCAGTAAGCTGGTTACTTTTAGCTCCATTGATTTTGTTTCGGTTTTTTGAATTTTGGATTTAGTTTGAGATTATTTTTTTGCTGTTTGATTTGATTGAGTTTATGGAATGTTGGATCTTACGGTGCAGTAATTGCTGGATTGAAGCAGAAATTCGAAGAGGCTACGGCGAGATCGGACGTTAAGGCCATTGTTGTGACCGGTGAGTCCGAGTTTTTCTTGGATTTTTCATTTCAGTGGTGTTCTTTAACCTGTCTGAATGATTTTGAAGTGGTTTTGAACATCGCTCAGTTGTGTGATTTCGTTTTTATTTCCTTGTTTAGAAATGAGTGGTTTTTTAGCTACCAGCTATCCGATTACATGGAACTTTATCATTTCAGTTGACTGTGGTCTGAGTGCATTGCAATATTGTTTTTGATAAAAACTGTGGCATGAAACTGCCATACATGATTGAAATTTTAGTTCTAAGACTTGGCAATTCCGTGTCTATTTCTTGGATTTTTTTTTTTTTTTTCACTAGCTGATTTTGTAATTTTTCATGGTAAAATTTGAAGGCAAGGGTGGAAGGTTTTCTGGCGGATTTGATATCAATGTTTTCGAGAGAGTTCATAAGACTGGTATGAATCGATTAATTAGATCCTTGTATTTCAGCTTTTCGTGGTTTGGAAGTTGGTTTCTGAATCTACATCCATATTGATGTCTGTGCAGGTGACATTTCTCTTTTGCCTGATGTATCGGTTGATCTTCTTATCAACATTATTGAAGGTCTTGACCCAACTCTAATTCTATCTATTGACATTTTACTCTGTCATTTTCTTGTTTCTCACCTTCTGGTTAAACATCATAGATATATTTCTTCACGCACTTATCATTCTGTTTATGCTGTTCATCTACTGACACAGATTGCAAGAAACCTGTTGTCGCCGCTGTTGAAGGGTTAGCTCTTGGAGGTGGCTTAGAATTGGCAATGGTCAGTGTTTTCTTTGAAGTAGCAATTTTTGTGATTAACTAACTTTTCTAACAAAATTTGCTTTCAAACTCATTAGAGATCCATCTTATCCTAGTTAATAATTTTGTACAGGGTTGTCATGCACGCATAGCTGCCCCAAAAACTCAACTAGGCCAGCCAGAGTTAACACTAGGGGTGATTCCTGGTTTTGGAGGTATGTAAAATTGCTTTTAACATGAAGACAAAAGCATGCGTGCACACGCACACAAATGGTTTGTGGTTCGTGAGTGATGAATGCTTTGTATCATATAGCATTTTTTTGACTAAATAATATGTATGGCTGTTATCTAAGGCACACAACATCTTCCAAGGCTAGTGGGGCTGTCAAAGGCCATTGAGATGATGCTGGTAAGGCTCTACTCCATAATGTCTTGGCTTAGGGACTGAAGAGAGAAATAGAGTAATTAATGGAGCAGAAAGTGAAATATATTATTGTTAAAAATCAATATACTTGAAAGGTTCACTGCATCAGTTCGTAATAGTGAAGCACCATGTTTTATGGTTTTCATTTCCTTGTATTGCTTCTGTTGTTATTTAAGTTCTAAAATGCCGTTAATGGCCATTTCATGATCCTTGATTATAAACTTTTATTGGATCATTATTCGTTGGTTATCTGGTTCAGTATGAATTATTTTGACCATGTGTCAGGAACTTTTCTTGATCAAAATTTGCATTATTAAATGATGTTAGTATTAGTATTCAGACTCTGTGTGAGAGGTGAATATTCTTCCCACTATTTCCAAAATCCAATCTAATATTAATAAACGATCTTCTCTTTACAGTTATCAAAACCAATCATGTCTGAAGAAGGGAAGAAGCTAGGTCTTATTGATGATATTGCTTCTTCTCAAGACTTACTGACCGTATCCAGGCTCTGGGCTTTAGAGATTGCAGAGAGACGTAAGCCATGGGTGTGCTCTCTTCACAAGACAGACAAAATTGGTTCTCTATCTGAAGCTCGGAAGGTATTAAGAACGGCCAGAGAACAAGCCAAAAAGACTGCACAAAATATGCCTCAGCACCAGGCATGCCTTAATGTAATTGAAGAAGGCATTGTCCATGGTGGGTATAGCGGTGTTCTGGAGGTAAATCTAGTTCTCCTTTGTATTGCAGGCAATCTACTTGCTTAAAAGATGAGAAAATATGTAACCAAGGAAAAAAATGGAAAAATGAGGAGAAAATGCTTTTGCTGTTTCTTGATACTCTTACGATGCCATTGATTTCTCTGCAATTAGGTATTCAAATCCCCTAGACTGCCAAAGTTTCTCTGTGTTCTGTGACAGATTTTGTTGAATCTCCTGCATTAAATTGGCATTTGATATATGCTTACAAATGAATTTAACATTGCAGGAAGCTAGAGTGTTCAAGGAGTTAGTCCTCTCAGAAACTTCAAGAGGTCTTGTTCATGTTTTCTTTGCCCAGCGTGCTACATCAAAGGTATTGATGGTTGGAAATTTGAACCTGCCAACCCCATCCATCCTTTGTCATTTCGTAGGTGATTGAGGTAGTGAGTTGGGAAATTTTGACCATGGCATTCTTGATAGATTGTCATTATTTTACTAAATGGCATCCACAATTTTTTAGTTAGTTGATAGATTATTTGTGGTTTCATAATCAGTTCATATACAATCATGATGTGTCATTAAATAAGTGGTTACATACAATATCACAGGTGAACCTTGAATAAAAAGAGTCAATCATATAGTGACACATCATGATTGTAAGTTTACAATGTCATGTGACATTTTAACTATATCTTTTTTGGAGCATATGTTTACTCTGGCTTTCAACTTTTGCAGGTACCAAATGTCACTGATATTGGTCTTAAACCAAGACACATGAAAAAAGTTGCCATAATTGGTGGAGGCCTAATGGGTTCTGGAATAGCTACAGCTCTAATTTTAAGTAACATATATGTTTTTCTCAAGGAAATAAACTCTGAATATCTTCTCAAGGCGATAAAAGCTGTAGAAGGTATTTATTTCATTGAAAAATAAGTCCTTTTCTTTACACCAATTGTTTTGATAAAGCAACCCTATCTTGTAAAATGATTTATGTTGTACTGAAGGGCTGGGTTGTTTTAATTGAGTAGTTGTACTTTGGGTGTTTTTTGTTTCTGCAAATATATCAAACATATATCTGCTCTTTATCCTTCTCATAAGTATAACTAAGCAGTATACAACAGAGTTTATGCACACTCTGGCGCAGAGTTTTTTCTTTGACTTTTGGTGAAAGGGTGGACAATTTGCTCCTTTCTGATGTGCAAAACTAGAACATAATCCTTTTTGATTGAATGCTGGAGAAGAATTGAGTCTTACATTTTTTGTCTTTAAATACCATAGTGACACTTATCTTAGATATTTATCTTTGACATTGAACCATTTTCTTTTGTCACAAAATTAAATACAATCTATTTTTATGGGTGACAGGAAATGTTCGAGGCTTAGTAAGTAGAGGAAAATTGACAAAGGATAAGGCAGAAAAGGCCCTTTCAATGCTCAGAGGAGTACTGGACTACTCCGAATTTAAAGATGTAGACATGGTCATAGAAGTGGGTTATTATTTCAACATCTTATTAAAATTTAGAATGTTCTCAGGACATTGATCTTTTAGTTTCTGTTGGTGAATTGGTGCATCTGAAGTTTCTATTTAGCAAAAAAATGGTTCTGTTGTAGATCTCTGTTTCTACTTTCTATATATGCCTATATTTCTTCTTAAGATGCAGCATTGTTGTTTAAATAAATGGGGCAGCTATGATCTTTGTCCTATTGCGTTGTGGAGGCAATTAGCACACTATGGAAATAATTTAATTCATTGAGTTTCACTATGCAGGCAGTCATTGAGAACATTCCATTGAAACAAAAAATATTTAGTGAAATCGAGAAGGCATGCCCTGCTCATTGCATTTTAGCCACCAACACATCTACTATTGACCTCAACTTACTTGGAGAAAAGACCAACTCACAAGATCGTATTATTGGGGCACATTTTTTCAGGTTTTGGACCTTATTTCCTTTCTTAGTTTCTAAATGCATTCCTTAATATCATTCAAATAATCTAATCATATGATTTGTATACTCAAGCCACTCCTAGTTCTGCTTCCTGCAACCCTCCACAATTTTCACATTTTTATACTCCATCATTTTATAATCATCTGAAATCAGACATATCCTTTATAGGATCTGTAATGCTGGTTGGATAGATATTTTAGGTCTTCTAATTTTTACTCATATTCCCTGGCTGTCTTCTATCAAGGAGATGTGACATTTACATTTGGAATTTTGCTTTAGAAAAAACTCCCTGACAAAGTTGGGTATTGTTGCCTCTAAGTGAAATTTCCAAGTCCTGAATTATGAGGGCATTCCATGTGGATTCTTAATTGCACATATGATGAATAGATCTGTATATTTGATCTATTACTATCAATATAATTTTGTGTTGAAAGTAGCATTCCTTGTTTGATTTGGCCTATGTTTATTTTTTTGCTTCTCCTCTCCATTGATTAGTAAACCACATGAATTGGAACCTACTTCTCAAAAGAATGTGAATTAATGTCTATGGATGGGTGGCATTGTATGGATGATTCTTCTCCTCCATCTCAAGGATTGATAAACCAAACAAATTTTGTTATTTGCATGTAGCGCACACAACTTGGGCAACAGAATTGCATGTCATCATAATCACCATCATTACTGGGACATGCTTCGTTGTTATTGTTTCATATGAGACTAGGCTATATTTTGTGTTACCTAAATGTTGATGATATAAATTTCAAAAATGGTAATGAGTTTGTGTGTACGTCTGACATGACTTCTAATTAACAGTCCAGCTCATGTGATGCCTCTTCTTGAGATTGTACGAACAGAGAAAACTTCCCCACAGGCCATTCTTGATCTCATGACAATTGGGAAAACAATAAAGAAAGTTCCTGTAGTAGTTGGTAACTGCACTGGCTTTGCGGTCAATCGAACATTCTTTCCCTACACACAAGGTTCACATATTCTGGTCAATTTAGGTGTGGACGTGTTCAGAATTGACAGGATAATCAGCAATTTTGGCTTTCCTATGGGCCCCTTTCAGTAATTTCCTTCTCAGAGCATTCTAAATAATTTTTGAATGGTTTATGTGTATATGTTTCCCTCTTCTTTTTTTTTTCTTTTTTTTTTTTTAATCTCTTTTATGCTTAACTCTATTGGAGCTCCCATGAGGTGTCAAGGTTCAAGTCTGTGGATTAAATGCTTAGCTTGGCCTGTGTTGTTCCTTTGAGGAGCCATTTCAAAACAGTGCTTGTAGACTTAAATGTGTGTATCTGGGATAGATGGTGTCATAATGACAAATTATACTTCTTTGCTTCCTTGTTTTGTAGGCTTCAGGATTTAACAGGATATGGAATAGCCTTGGCAGCTGGGAAAGAAATTGCAAATGCTTTCCCTGATCGAACATTCAAGTCTCCATTGGTTGAACTCCTGGTGAAAAATGGGCGAAATGGTAAAAAGAATTTTCATGTCAACTCCTCTTACATTATTTTCCACTTTCATATTGGTAAACCCCTTTTCGAGTATGCTATTATGGGCATCATTTCAATTTTGGTATTTCAGGAAAAAATAATGGAAAAGGATACTACATTTATGAAAGAGGAAGCAAACCAAAACCTGATCCTTCTGTGCTGTCTATCATCGAGGAGTCTAGACGGTTTGCCAACATTATGCCTGGTGGAAAGGTACCATTTATCTGATCTGAAAATCAAGTATTAAAGAGGCGCATGTTGTATAATCTTAACAACTGTGGTAGCACATTATGCAAGTGAAGTGAATACTGACCATCGCTTAATTGATTGCTTCTCTTGGATGATAGCTAATGTTTTCTGGTTTTGGTTTTATTTGGTAGCCTGTATCGGTTACGGACAAAGAAATTCTGGAGATGATACTTTTTCCAGTTGTTAATGAGGCCTGCCGTGTTCTTGAAGAAGGCATGGTGGTTCGAGCATCTGACCTTGATATTGCATCTGTTCTTGGAATGAGCTTCCCATCTTACAGGTAAGTGCTTCGACATACTTTCTACTATGCCATACGAGGATTATTTTCTTGGTACTTCTGTTAATTATTCACAACATCGAGGTGCCTTGGCAGAGGGGGAATCCTGTTTTGGGCGGATGTCATTGGGCCAAAACATGTGTTTACAAGCCTGAAGAGATGGTCAGAAATGTACGGTAGCTTCTTTAAGCCATCAAGATATTTGGAAGAAAGAGCAATGAAAGGCATCCTGTTGGTAAGAACTTGTTATCTTTTGTTAGAACTTTTCATCCCGGTGTCTCGCGATAAAAGTTGATATTCCAACATTTGTTTTTGGTATGTCTGCAGAGTGAACCAGCCTCATCATCTCTGAAGTCAAGATCAAAGCTGTAGGCAAATTTATGCTTCATCCTATGTTAAGCATATTGTGGTCGAGAGAAACCACAATGTGTAATAATAATCTGGCTCGGTTTCTTCTTTCAAAATCTTTTTCCAGGTTGAGTTGAGTATCGAGTTAGAATGCACCATGAACAATTTGTAAAAGAAAAAAAAAAAAAAAGAAAAATTTTGTTTTACAGTTTGGATTATACTAAATTGTAAAACAAGAATTATTGGATGGAGAGGATTTTAATATTAGGTGCTCGACTTTCATCTAATAGTTAGTGTTTTATAATTTAATAAGTCTAAACCACATAGCATTTTTTTCAAAAAAAAAAAAAAAATCATCTAAATGTTTTTGCCAATGGCTGATAAAATTTAGCACCAATGTGATTGCCCCTGCATGGAATTATAGGTTACAAAATTCCATACTCTTTGTTTCACTAAAACTTAATAGTGTCACTAACTAAAAATAAATCCTACCTTCTAGTGATCCAAGGCCATAATGATAATTGGTGGGACGAACGAAGTAATTAGTAATGCCAGGCAAATTAAGCTTTGCAATTTACATTGGTATGGGCTGTAACTAAATCTGGTAGAAATTTATCAATCTCAATCATGTATGAAACTAGCCAGAATTCTGGTCCAGTCATGCCAACAACACTTGACACTGCTTCAAGGTTGAAGCTCAAACTCAGACCGAAGTAATGATGTTACAGAACTGCAGTAGCATTCCTTGGACCAATCTTTGGAGTTTAAATTATCTCTACACCTGTTTTTCGGTTTTGAACTTGGAATCCCCATTTTGAGGAAGAAGTGGAACTCTTGGAAAGATCATGATTAGAGGTGGCAACTGTTGCAGTAGCCATGTGAGATGTCTTGGCTGAAGATGGAAAAACGGTTTTTGCAGCTCCATTGTTCGTGGGTCCCTGTTGGCTCAACTTAAATCTCATCTGGATTATTAAATAACCGAACTTAACAAATCGAGGAGAGGGTCGAACTTAATAAATATATAATATGTCTAAGATTAGTGATTTTGGATCTATCTTTACACTTGGCATTTGCAACTTAGAGCATATAAATGCTTAACTTACATGTTCTCTTAAAAAAGAGAACAAATTAAAACTCTAAAAAAAATGTGTTATTGGAGCATTTTTTTAAAGGAAGTTGATTCTTATTATTATTATTATTTTCTCATAAAAGAGTAAAAAATTTTACTTTGTTTGCATCACTTGATGTAATGTTAAGCGGTGCAAACTTAAACGGTTCAGACGTTTGATATAGAAATTCAATTGCTAACGTTTCTTTTTTTAAAGAAATTCATTTTAAAAATTTTTTTTAGAATATTTAATGAGTTGAATAAAATAATATTAATATAATTTTTTTAAAAATTTATTTAAATATACACGTTAAAAATGAGATGTTTAATTGGATATTCTATTTAAATATCAAATATAGGAAAATATAAGTTTATATAAAATAATATTAATTGTGCTTTTAGCCACTAACATCCTGAGCCCTTGTTTGTGAATTGTGATATATGTAGGCATGTGCCACTTTGCCTGTAACGTACGGAACACTTGCCCTAACATTTGATGTTGAAATTTCTAACTTAGCATTTGCGACTTAACATGTAACGTGCTGAACCCTTGTTTTAAGAGGTGATATTTTTTGGCATTTGCCACTTTGCCTGAGCTGGTTTGATTAGATGAACAATTTTATTAAGATCTTGTTTGTAAAAATTGTTAAAAAAGTAGTGTATTTAATCCGCATACTCTTCTGCTATACACTTGATATAGGATTTGCCGTTCTGTTATGAATGTTGAATCCTTTCATATGACTTAATACACTTTTTTACACAAGTCTTATCAAGTGAGTTAACAATAGATTTTTCAGGATAGAACTTAGATTCTGATATCATATGAAAATTGTACATGTAAGTTTTAATATAAGGCTTGCATCCAACTTAAGATTAATTGGCAATAAGTTTAATTGGCAATAAATTTTCATATGACTTAATACACCTTTTACACATAG